TCAGCGCCGGGCGCCCCGCCGCAGGTGAAGCCCTGGGAGAGGTGCCGGCGCATCGCATGCTGCGGCGCCCGGGCCGGAAAAGGACAAGGCAGGCCTGAGGTTTCTGCGGGGCGGCTAATCTCGCTCTGTCACAGGGAGAGGGGGCGGGAGGGTCCCTTTTCGGGGGTCCTGGCGGGGAGAGCGATGCCGGGGCAGTGATGGGGGTAAAGGAGCGGTGGGCACTGCAGAGGGGACAGCAGTGCCAGGGACGCCCTTGGCTTTCCAAGGTGACCCAGGACATGGGCTGCATGAGCCCCAGGGAAGCGGGAAGTGGAAATGGGGGATTTGCGTGGTTTTGGAGGAAGAGGCCGCCGAATTAAATGTGTCTTTTGTGCCAGCGTGCCCCAGGCGTTGGCGGGAGGTGGGGAGGGCGCTGGGGGCGGACACAGCCTGCTGCGCATATGCTTCGCTCACAGCCCCAGGACTGGGGGCAGAGAGCTGCAGGCTCACAAATCCCTAAGTGCCTGCTGCGGAGCAGCTGGCCGAGCAGCCCGGGCACCGCAGGAAAGACGTCTCCCTTTCGGAGGGGAAAGGCTTGGTGTCCCCTGGCCAGCAGAATAAGGCTGTGTGTCGTAGCCCTTCGGCTGAAGGACTCTGAGCCACAGGTTTCCAAAGCTCCTGTGCTGTGCTCTCACCATTCGCCGGCTCTGTTCGGCTCCCGGTGCTGTGGGGCACTCACCCAGCAGCATGGCTGGCGGGTTAAAGCCAGCCCTGCTCCTGCCTAGCCTGCGTCCCTCACTCCTCCGTAAAATCCTGTTTGCTTTCCAGACGGAGAGCAGCCACGAGACTTGCTGGGACCTGCGCTGACGATTGCTGCACAAGATGACAGCAAAGGACGGGCCCCAAGATAGGTAAATGCCGGGCTCTGGTGTAGGTGTGGGGGCACATCCAGGGTACCAGGAGGTCAGGGAGGATGGGGGACCCAGAGTCTGGGGGACCCCCTCTCCTGCATGTTTTCTGGAGCTGAGCTGTCCCTTCCCCGAGATGCTCTCTCCGTCAGCTTTTCCACAGCAAACAGGCTGTAAACAGCCCCTGGTGCTGGGACACGCCTGGGGAGCCCGGCTCCCTCCCAGCTCTGGCAACGGCCACGGTGCATCTGGGTGCCACATGCCGAGGAGCAGCCAGCCTTCCCCCCGCCATCATACCCTCCTGGGGAGGGCCTCCCACCGCCCCTCGGCAGCGCCTCGTCTCCTCTGGCAGCCCAGGCCAGCAGGGGCTGTGGGGCAGGGGCAGGGACAGGGACAGGGCAATAAACTTCGTCCTCCCTCCTCCTCCTGGTGCCTCTGGCCACGGGGTCGGGGACAGTCGGAAGCGATGCCTGTCCTCTGCCCTGCCCAGAGTCCTGCTCCAAATCACTCTGTCCCTTCCACAGGTACAAGGCTGTCTGGCTCATCTTCTTCATCCTTGGCCTGGGAACGCTGCTGCCATGGAATTTCTTCATGACTGCCAGGGAGGTGAGGGCTTCCCTCCCACTGCTGCCCATGACACTGCTCGTCCCTTGTCACCTCTAGGCATGGCAGCACGGCACAGCATAGAGCCCCCGCATTTGCATGCATGAGACAGAAGCGTGGGTGACCTGGGTGGGACAAGTGGCACTGAGGTGGCAGGAGGAGCCCTGGGCTGGGCATGGGGCTGTAGGGGGGACAAGGGTGGCCTGAGTGTGCTGAGAGGGGGCCTCGCAGCACCTCAGCCCCACCAGGCTCCTTCCCTCGTAGTATTTCATCCACCGCCTCGCAGACCCGGAGACGAGCCGCCTCTGGAACGAGACCAGTGGGGCTGCCTTGCCCATCTCCTACCTGCAGTCCATGTTTGACAACTTCATGACTCTGTGCGCCATGGTGCCCCTCCTCATCTTCACCTGCCTCAACTCCTTCATCCACCAGCGGTGAGCCTTGCCCCATCCTTGCTCTGCCAGCCCCCATGGGGCCACCCAGCCCTGGCCCGTCCTCCTGCCCCAGCACTGAGCCAAGCCACAGCCCATTCAGTCAAGTCAAAGGCCAAACACCGGTCTACTGTGCTGGGGCTTGGCTGGGATTCCCACGGGAGGGCTTCACCCCAGGTTCACAGGCTTTTGAGGGGTGGGTTTTCCTCACCGAGACCCTCTCTTGCAGGATTCCCCAGCAGATCCGCATATTGGGCAGCCTGGTGGCCATCGGGCTGGTGTTCTTAGTCACCGCCATCATGGTGAAGGTCGACATGGAGCCTCTTCCCTTCTTCATCTTTACCATGATCAGCATTGTCTTCATCAACTGTGCGTGAGGCAGCAGGGGGAAGGAAAGGGGCACAGCCCCATGGCTAGGACTGATCTCCGTGGGAGAAGAGCATTAGGCTCACTGCGGGAGAGCCAAGGAGGAGGGAGACCTGCCTTGCCTCGCAGGGCAGGGTCCTTGGCTCCCTGCAAAGGTGCAGTCTATCTTTGCTTGCGGTTTCTCATTTCTGCTTGTCTTTCCCCTTCGCAGCCTTCGGCGCCATCCTCCAGAGCAGCCTCTTTGGGCTGGCAGGGCTCCTGCCTGCCAGCTACACAGCTCCCATCATGAGTGGGCAGGGCTTGGCCGGCACCTTTGCCGCTTTGGCGATGATCTTCAGTATTGCCAGTGAGTAATCCCTGCCCTGCAGCTGACAGAGCCTTCCCAGAGCACTGCTGTCAACAAGATCTGCTGGGATTACACTGCAGGGTTGGGTGGGAGATGGCAGCAGGGCCTTGCTCCTCTCAGCCCTCGTCATCTTCTTCCTTTTTGCCCCCATCTCCTCCCTCCCTGTGCTCCCAGTTGGCGCCCAGCAACCTGAGAGCTTCATTGGTTACTTCACCACCGCCTGTGTGGCGATCGTGCTGGCAATCATCTCCTACATCGTTCTGCCTCGCATGGTGAGACTTTGTTGTCCTGGTGGGGCAAGGTCTGGGAACACGGGACCTTCACGCATCACAGCACAAAGGCCACGGCCCACTAGCACCCCAGCCTTGGCTCCTACCAGCCTCCACCTCCTGGGTCAGGGCAAGCTCTCCCCTGTCCCGAGGGAGCTCTCTGGGGTACTTCCCACCCCAGATAACCCAGTATCCTTGGGGTACTGTGGAAGTGAGCCCCTGGGTGAGCAGGAAAGCATAAGTATTAGACGTAAGCGGAAGGATACTTTGCCGATATTGCATTTGCCCGTATTTCCCATATCTGCTGTTACCCCACAGCCTTCATTCCTCATGTACGAATGAGTTCTCCATGGCTGTCTCTGCAGGATTTCTTCCGATACTACTCCATGAAGGACAAGACAGAGTACCATGTGTACAATGCAGAGCTGGAGACCAAAAGAGACCTGATTAAGAAAGGTGAGGGGCTGAGGGGAGGAAGAGGAAGAAAAAAGAGGAAGAGCTGAGAGGAAGGATGAGACAGAAGGACTAAATCAGGTGACAACTTTCAGGGGTCTGCCATGTCCTACTTGTGTCTCTCCCTGCAGATGAGCCCAATGGGATGGAGCAGAATAACTCGAAGATCATCCCTGTCCGCAACCCTGACAAGAAGCCCTCAGTCGTCGCTATTTTTAAGAAGGTCTGTGAGTTCCCAGCAACCCCTGCCGTGCCCCTCATGTCAGGGGATGGGCACAGGTGTGGGAGAGCACGGGGAGAGGAGACCAGCCCTGCACTGGTCTCTTCCCTTGTACTTGGTACCAGCCTTTCTTTCATCTGCCTAGCTGTGGGTCATGGCTGTGTCTGTCTGCTTCGTCTTCACTGTCACCATCGGCGTCTTTCCTTCCATCACAGCTAAGGTGTCCACTGTCCTCGGAGAGGGAAACACATGGGGTAAGTGTGGCCAGGGATGGGGTGGGGTAGGAGGAATCTGGGAACAAGGTAAATGGGCGGAAAGACAGTGGGGCTTGAAGTACTGTGGGTGCCTGAGGGGAAGCGGGGACCAGTGTGCATGGTGGTTTGTATGCAGACATCGGCCTGGCTGGGAGAGCATTCCAGCCCTTAGCGGGAAACTGGGAGGACCCAGACCCGAAAGACAGCCTCCATGCAATCAGCAAGAGGGCCTGGGGCACCCTGGGCTCGTCAGTGACATTCTCCCCATTCTGCAGGTCTCTACTTCATCCCTGTCTCCTGCTTCCTTCTCTTTAATGTCTTTGACTGGACAGGACGGAGTCTCACCGCCCTCTTCACATGGGTAAGCATGGGGCAGGAGCAAATGCCCAGGCACTCCTCATCCTCAGGCCCCTCAGCCATGGCTGTCACTGGGGCTGCCATCCATAGCTTGGAGGAAGGAGGCGCAGAGCTGAATGGCGTTAAATCCTAAGCAGAGACTTATGGGTCAGAGCCGAGAACCACAGTGTTGTCCCGTCCTCCTCCCACCCGTCTCTCAGCATGGCTTGGATGAAGCTGCCTCCTCCATTTCACCCTCTTTGTAAACAAACCTTCACTCCAGCTATGCAAACAGCCAGGCAGGACGGCGGCAGGGAAAGAGGGGGAACGACAGGGCAGCCCAAAATAAAACCCCTGGCCTCCGCACGGACACAGCTGCTTTCAAGAGCCTTGTCCTGGGAGCAGGGCAGAGCCACGCCACGTGGGTCACACAGCTGTCCTGCCCCGTCCCCTTGCTCTCATCATCTGCCCTGCCTGGCTCGGAGCTGCTGGGGCTGAGTGGTGGGAGCTGTGATGGCGGTGGGCGAGCAAGGGGGCTGTCGCCTCTGTCTGTGCCTCTTCCTGCCCCTTCACCCACCCCCCAAGTGCCGTTTCCCCCTGCATTGTTCAGGCTGCTTGTTTAGAGAGGCTCCTCAGCACCGCACGCCGTGGGGTCTGTCCGGGGCTGGCTTCCCC